CTGTCAGCCATGTCACGGAAGGGTAAGCTCTCCTCCCGTTACATGGGTTCTAAGGAGTTCTCCTCCCGTGACAACCTAAGGAGTCAGGATGGAGAGCAGTATACAAACACTCACTGATCATCTGATTGCTTTTAAATAACGGACAACCTAGTATGTTTACTGTGTCCCCAATTATGAATGAACAGGAAGTGCTCTACCTCACTTCCTGTTCATTCATGATTGTGGACATAGTAACTCATACTACACTGAGTGGCCAGTTTATTATGACCACCTGACGTTTGTAGGCTAATTAGCTATGATTTCGCGCTGAAGTTGCTAGAGGGCCAGACCATTATAAATAGGGAAGCAGGTTAATTACCACGACAGTAGAAGTGATTTGTTTCTGAAGATACGGGGAAACAACGCGATTTAACAGCCTTTGAACGTGGGATGATTGTTGGAGCGAGTATCAGCAAAACAGCAGAATTCGTTAAATGTTCAAGAGGGGCTCATTGTTAAAGTTTTAAAGACTGGACTGTCAGCCGAAAATCTGGGTCTGAACGTGCGCGTTGTGGCCGTCAGCGACTAGTCAATGTTAGGGCAGAACGGAGACTGGCAAGACTGGTACAAGACAACAGAAGGGCAACAATGCAGTGTCAGATTCCTCGCATCACCTTTCAACATCTCGTGGAGTCACGAGGCGGCCCAACAAAGTAATCTTGTGGCCCAACTAAGTACTGATGGGGTGGTCATAATAATCTGGCCACTCAGTGTATATCCACAGTTCATGAATGGACAGGAACACTCAGTATAGAGGCTTCCTGATCATTCATAACAGGGGCTGCAGAAAAAAAGAGATTGAGTACTCCTTATCCCCAATCTCCCTTTCTATTTCAAAAGGGAAATTTCAGGGGGTTGTTTAAACCCCTAATATTTCCCCCGAGCCCCCAACAGTAAGCCAAAATAAATTTTAAAAAAGGATAGAAAATAAAATATTTCTGTTTCAGCCTGACGCATTTTTCTTTAGTTTCGGTGCATCGATAGTTAGAACCTCTGATGACTTTGTATTTTCCCATTTGCCTTCATTTCCTGTTTCCTTGACTGGTGGAAATCCTCCACTGGGAACACAGCAGCAAAACCTTTCTAGTAGAATGTGGAAGGTTTAGAACGTCAGTTGGGATTGTATTGCTCAGAAGAAAGGAGGGTGAAAGTTCCACTCTGATGTGTCCACAATATATTTTTATTCAAAACAGACTAGGCATTTTGATGGCATTAGGGATCCCCCTTCATCAGGGCTACAAAAATGTATGAAAACATTTTTTTTTTTTACAGGTTCAATATTATTGATAAATATTAATGTTGTAGTAATACACATCCTACACATTCAAATGGGCAGAGAGTTTGCATTGCCTTCCTTGTGCCTTTTGCAGTCTGATAAACGTTGTCTGCTCTTTTATTTAATTTTGTTTTTGTTTTTAGGAATTCCATGAGACAAGCCACCAGTTATTACTGTGGTTGACCGAAGCAGAATCTCGTAGATTGAAATACCAGGTGGCGGGTCATAAAGGAGACCTGCATGCTCTGCTGGAGTGCCAAAGGCAACTAATGGTGAGTGTCTTGTTGTAACCACTTTTTTTGTTTCTTTTGGTCTAGGCATCTTCTGATCTGCAAACATTTCAGATTCGCTACACGTGTAGTATGATAATTTGTGGCCCAACGCAGTACTACTTATTGTGAACTTCTTTAGATAGTAGTTCTTGGCACAAAGTGTCACTAGAAACAGTGCTGAAGTCCCCCTAACATTTTACACTTTATCCCTAGAGCCTCAAAAGGAGAAGTAAAATTTACTCTTCATGCGGCTGCCACCCGGTATGGGATACTGCAGCTGTCGCACACTGGCTGTATACCTAGAGCTGATTACTCAGCTTATGGTTTCTCCTCCCTGCAGAGAGCAGGGACTGTTAATGATTGCCCCAGCGGTCACTAGAGGGAGAGACAGTGAAGGTGATAGGCAGAGCTGACTCTGGAGAGACTACTGTCACTTATTTCTCATTCACACCTAGACATTTTGTCACTCAAAGCTAAGCACGACAAAACGCTCAAGACAAGGAATCCTATTCTTTTCTATGGCTCCCTGTTTACAACTGTAGCCTGCCAAAAAGTAGCTCACGTACTTTTTCCAGCAACAGGTGTTTTTCTGCTTGCGACAAAATGCTCGGGTGTGAACATGGGCTATAGCAATGAATGGGATTCCTTGTCTTGAGTGTTGTGTCGTGCTCAAGACCAGCGAATGGGATTCCAAGTCTTGAGTGTTTTGTTGCGCTTAGCTTTTAGCAACCTAAACGCCTAGGTGTGAACTGAGCTATAGGCAGCCGGGGTGGATCCCGGCAATATTGTCAGGATGCTTCCAAGGTGCAGTGCAGCTTTGCGCCGTCAGCTGATAGCCCAGGGGTCACAGAAGTACATTAGTAAACATATTCCTGTGACGCAAAAAAAAAAAGTTTGGCTTTACTTATCTTTGAAAATTTAACATGATACCTATAATGAACTCTTAAAGGTAAGACTTTTATTTATCTCTAATACCATATTAATGTTGTTACTTTATCAAAAATTAAAAAAAAATTAAAATTGCTTTTGAAATGTATTTTATTTCTCACAATATCCCTAACAAATGAGGAAGATATAAAGCCATCCCCCTGCAAAGCAAGCAATTAAAAAACATACCTGTCCCGCTGCCTGTGACACGAAACTCCATCTCCTGAAGATCCAAGCTTGCCTAAGAATGTTTAGTATTTGACATTTACAGTTGTCAGGTTTTGGAGTTCCCCACTACGCTCTTTGGATTCCTCCTATATCATTACTGTGCCCATAGTGACATAGGGGGCCAATGGAGGAATCCACAAAGCACAGAGGGGGGCCAGGCACTAGACACACTCAGAAGTGTGCTGGATTAGATATGCAACGCATCAAAGTATTCCGGAGGGGGCAGTGAGACAGGTCAGTATTGCTAACTTTGCAGGCATGGCTTTATTTTGTGTCTTTGAATAGCAACAAAGTCGCTTTATATAGTTACTTTTTTGTGTGTGTAAACAGGTTTTTGAGCAAATGTAATAGTTGTATTAATGCTGCCACCTATACCTTTTAACTAGCAATTAAAAGAACAGCTGCTGGAGAGACGAATCCAAGCCAATTCCCTTCAGGACATGTCTAGTTACTTGCTAGGGAGTAATGCTGGAGGCGGCTACGTGGAGGCCGATGAGAGGACGCATGTCATTGCAACCAAGATGAGGCAGCTCCTTCAAGAAGTTTCACGAGACTTGAAAATAGCCCAGCGAGCTCTGGTGAGTAATGGGTGGCCAGGAGAATAAAGTCCTGTTACCTTTTCCCTACATTTAGCACAGCTCTGCTGACGCTCTATATATAGATTTAACTGACGCCTGCCAGTGGCCCTCTTGCTGTGAACGGGCTTGTTCCTCTACGTCAGTGCAGCTCAATAGTTCTTGCTCTGTTCATTTGCATTGGCTGGATTTCTGCAGCCTCGCTTAAAAATAAAACAATGTGCTATTGACATGACTTTGAAATCTATACAGAGGATCTATACAGAGTTAGGTGGAGGGTAATGCTGCCAGCAAACCCAGATGCAGATTATGGTCTTACCAAATAGGTAAGGCTGCTGTTAACCACAGACTGTTCCATATACCGTACAATCAATTAGTGGCCATGTGAGCAAATAAGGACACTTACCGATACAGAGACTGTCACTTTTTTTTTTTTAACAAGAGAACCTGTCTTTTTGCCCTGAATCAGCACTCACTAATAACTGCCTCCTGTGCACTCCCCCACCACCTTGTTATTGGAACTGCAAGTCGGAGATCACACAGGTTACTTATTGCTCCTCACGTCACAGGACGTGACTGTGTTCTGGCCAGGCAATTGGACACTCTGACCTGAAGGGGAAGTGGTCACATGCTCCTCCATACCCATGGGGGACCAGATATTTACCAAGGGTTTCAACAGAGCATCAAAGTGGTGGAAAGTGCAGCATGAGTATCACTGGGTAGACAGGTGGTTGTTACAAGAGTACAATTATTTCAATAAATGGGAAAACCATATATTTCATTCTGTTCAAGATAATGTTTTTTGTCAATTATTTGTTAGTTTTGTAAATTTGAAATTGCTGTAGATAACAATTCCAGATTTGAAATATTGCACTTGCAGTTGCCACCTCCAAGCTGCAAAAGTTGTAGACAATTGGTGTAACGTTGTGCTGAAGATACCGGTTTAAATAGAAGGGTTCTTATTGGTCTGATTCTGCCATCACCTTAGGTCTCGTTCACACCTAGGCGTATTGCATATGCGCGTCTGTCGCGCGTTTTTTTACCGCGATTTGCGGTAAAAAAGTTGCGTGACCGTCGCGCGTTTCCGAAGGCTACTTGGCTGTATCCCAATTGAAACGCGCAACAAAACGGCCCAAAGTAGTACATGTACCTTTTCAGGCGTGGGCCGTTTTGTAGCGCGTTAGGGAGGGGCGGAAATACGCCAAGGTGGGAAGGAGACAATTGAATACAATGGGATTTATATTTTTGAGCGTTTTGTAGAGCGTTCGTCGAGCGTAGAACGCGCGCTACAAAACGTTCAGGTGTGAACAAGGGCTTAGAGTAGGAGTCTCAAAGTAATGGCCGGCAGATCGGTTACTTTTGGTCTGCAGGCAGGGCCGCCAATAGGGGGTACAGCCAGAGGCATAGCTAGGGTTGCCACCTGTCCAATATTCACCCAGACAGTCTGGATTTTGAGCCGTGTATGTGCTGTCAGGCAGACAGGGACAACCACGGGGTCCTGATGTTCCAACTTGAGTGAATGGAGGAGTCACGGGACATGAAGGGACCCTAGAATTCAGGGAGCAGGGAGGTGTCTGAAACACAGGGTGCAGATAAGTCTTAAAGGATACAGGGGGTTTTGCTTCAGGCAGATGTGTTGCTCACTCTTTCTCTCGCCTCGCTTATCCTCCTGGCTGTCTCTCCTCATGCAACCCCCATGAAGAAGAAAACATACCCAGTGGCCTCAGGTCATTTGCATTAGAGCCCCCCCTGCCTTAGAGGGTCAGGGTTTCTGCAAACCAGCATCTAAGATGAAGGAATGCTGAGAGGCCGAATTTGTGTGTTTTATGGCCAGGTGTCTCACTACATTTCACAGCGGATGAGGAACTTTACTGCAGAAGGGACATGCTGTGTCAGTTCTACAGGAAAACAAACTTACCTGCCTTTTTACATTCTGCTTAAAAATGTAAAACAGAGGCACTCGGTATACATACTCTGCACACCTCTGTGCCAGCCAATCAATCAAAGAGGCCAAAGACCTGGCACCCGGAAGAAGTTGGGGCTTATTGGTGAGGGAGCGAGAGGAGGCGAGTTATATTCTGATTTTCACAATAATGTAGCTAATAATTGTGACTACAAAATAATCTCAATGCTGTTCTATTGATTTGCTTTTTACTGTAAAGAGCTTGTATTTATTTTCCCCACTTTGATTTTGCAGGATGATTGCACATCTGATGAGGTGGACTCGGTGACAGCTGCAGACAGCCAGGTAAGGCCAGTACATATAGAATGCTATATATTAAATGCTCTAGGCTTAGATTTAAAAGACTATACAGTCATTTTAAGGTTGGCTTCACATGCACAGTAACTTGCAAGCTACAGTGCCATTTGAATGGAAACCTAATACACCTTACCAGTGCACCCTTATCACATGTTCATTTCAAATCCACTACAAGTAGCCGTTATGCTAATCCTAGTTTGCAATCACAGTGTAAATCAGCTCTGCTTTAAATATGAATCACTGAAAAAACTGCACTATGTGTGTGACTTATATGATGCCTGCCAGCTCATCATATAACACACCAGAGAGACAGACCTTTGCTGGATTACATCGCACATAGTGGGAGAAAGGTTTATTTTGCTATAATGATCATCTGATGGCATGCTGATTGATGCAACATTTTTTAGAATTTAGAGAAGTAAACCCAATCAATAAAATCTCATATATAATTTCTAATACAGTCCAAAGTAATTGTTTTGATTATACAGCTTTCATCAAGTAGATTAAAACCCAATCATTACAATTTCATATCAGCTTTAATATGATAATTTTATTCTAAAATGTATTTTCAATCTACAGCTTTAATTAAATGAATAACCGCTGATCCTGAAATAGAGGTCCTTGTTTCACGCTCTTCCCCTCCCATATATTGGGTGACCATTGTCTCTCACTTGTGCTCCAGGGTTGCCACCCTGAAACATGCAACCCCAGTTAGGACTACAGATGGGTATGCCAACACACACATGTCCACTGTTATCCCTATCAGGAAGTAGAGCAATGATGTGCAGGTGACAATGGAGCATACAAGCAG